GCCTGGTTCGCCCGCGAGGGACTCACAAGGTCGATTTCGGCCCCGGCCGGGGAGCAAGCAGGCCGGGGAGGAGAGGAAGTATAAATGCCGGACCCACACACATGAAACAGTGTGTGGCGGCCGTGGTCGGTGGGCGTGTTTTCGCAACAGCGCTGCTCACCAGGCTTGTTGCCTGTGTGGGGCTCAACACGTGAATACAGAAAGTATAAATGCCGGAACCACACACATGAAATAGTGTGTGGCGGCCGTAATTGGTGGGCTTGTTTTCGCAACAGCGCTGCTCACCAGGCTTGTTGCCTGTGTGGGGCTCAACACGTGAATACAGAAAGTATAAATGCCGGAACCACACACATGAAATAGTGTGTGGCGGCCGTAATTGGTGGGCTTGTTTTCGCAACAGCGCTGCTCACCAGGCTTGTTGCCTGTGTGGGGCTCAACACGTGAATACAGAAAGTATAAATGCCGGAACCACACACATGAAATAGTGTGTGGCGGCCGTAATTGGTGGGCTTGTTTTCGCAACAGCGCTGCTCACCAGGCTTGTTGCCTGGGTGGCGATTCACGCATGCACAGAGAGAGAGTGTAAATGTCGGAACCACACACATGAATAGTCTAGTGTGTGGCGGCCGTGAGTGGTGGGCTTGTTTCCGCAACAGCGCTGCTCACCAGGGTTGTTGCCTGTGTGGGGCTCAACACGTGAATACAGGAAGTATAAATGTCGGAACCACACACATGAATAGTCTAGTGTGTGGCGGCCGTGAGTGGTGGGCTTGTTTCCGCAACAGCGCTGCTCACCAGGGTTGTTGCCTGTGTGGGGCTCAACACGTGAATACAGGAAGTATAAATGTCGGAACCACACACATGAATAGTCTAGTGTGTGGCGGCCGTGAGNAGTGTAAATGTCGGAACCACACACATGAATAGTCTAGTGTGTGGCGGCCGTGAGTGGTGGGCTTGTTTCCGCAACAGCGCTGCTCACCAGGGTTGTTGCCTGTGTGGCGATTCACGTATGCACAGAGAGAGTATCAATGCCGGACCCACGCACATGAAATAGTGTGGCGTGGCCGTGGTTGTTGGGCTTGTTTTCGCAACAGCGCTGCTCACCAGGGTTGTTGCCTGTGTGGGGCTCAACACGTGAATACAGGAAGTATAAATGTCGGAACCACACACATGAATAGTCTAGTGTGTGGCGGCCGTGAGTGGTGGGCTTGTTTTCGCAACAGCGCTGCTCACCAGGGTTGTTGCCTGTGTGGCGACTCACGCATGCACAGAGATAGTACGAAGGTCGGAACCACCTGCATGAAATAGTGTGGGGCGGCCGTGTTCGTTGGGCGTGTTTTCGCAACAGCGCTGCTTACCAGGCTTGTTGCCTTTGTGGGGCTTGACACATAAATGCATGAAGAGAAAATGCCGGAACCACACACATGAAATAGTGTTTGCGGGCCGTGATTGGTGGGCTTGTTTTTGCAACAGCGCTGCTCACCAGGCTTGTTACCTGTGTGGCGATTTACGCATGCACAGACAGAGCACCAATGCCGGACCCACGCACATGAAATAGTGTGTGGCGGACGTGGTTGGTGGACTCGTTTTCGCAACAGCGCTGCGTCGTTGTCGGATCGCGGTTCAACGCTCTGACATTCGACCCTCTTCAGCGTCTGAGCGTAAGAGAGCTGCCGGTAGGTGTCTTTCTTGCGCTTGTACCCGATAACTCGAAAGAGCAGTCGGTGGTTTTTCGACCGCAGGGTCTGATAGTGGCCGTTGAGTGGTGACCATGTCATGCAACCGTACAGCAGTGCCTCCATCGCCTCCGTCTGGAGCAGGCGGATCTTGAGTCGGAATGGCGCTTTTGCGGTCGGTCGAAGAGCTCCCGGCCATGTCGCCTGAGGCACGCCCACCCTCCTCTGCTCCTGTAGTTGATCTCCCGGGTCAGGTCGCCATGTTCGTTGACGAGGCCACCGAGGTACCGGAACTCGGTCGTCTGGGCGTATTTCTGTCCCGCGGCTTCGATGGTCAGTGGTGGAGGCGGGGTGGGCTGTGATGTTGTATTCGGCTTGTCCTTTGCGCGCATCAGGAGCGTCTCCGTCTTCTTCTCCGACACCGTTAGCCCGAACTCCCCGAACACATCAACGATGATGGTCATCATTCTCGCCAGTCCTTCTGCAGACCTCGATACGACGCCGGCATCATCGGCATACAGCATCCCCCATACTGCCCTCCGTACTCGGTCAAGG